AATATCCCTAAGAGCTGGGCCATTCATAAGCTGTAATTTAGTAATCCTTGGCATGTTCACTATAGGCAGCAATGATGACATCTGCCAAGTGTATTATAGGAAGTCAGTTTTTTAAAGAGTGAGTCACATGTTCATTTCAGTACTTGTCGATTATAATATAAAGCATATTTTACTTTAAATTATTTGCTGGATAACTGTCTATCCACCATCTTTTTGGATTAGGAACCATTTGAGAACTGAAACCTATTTTATTCATCTTTATTATGCCGGTATCAAATTTATATAATTTTAGACATTTTTAAGAATTGTATCTTCTGATTAAAAAAGGGAATCATTCTCCAAAAGACTCTAGACCAGTGCTTCTCAAATTTTACTATGCAAACAAATCACCTGGGATTAAATATAGATTCTGATTCTGTAGGTCTGGGGTGAGGCCCAACATTCTGCATTTCTGTCAAGCTCCCAGGTGATGCCCATGCTGCTAGAACCTGGATCACAGTTTGAATAGCATGATTCTAGGGGAAACATTCCTGTGTCTGAGATACTAGGGTTCAAGTTTAAACCAGAATTGACTCACTAGCCTACTCTCCACAGTAGACAAGCCAGCTGCGAACACACTATGGAAGAGCACACAAACCACACAAGCATTGAACAAATGCACAAATTTAAGAGACAGCACTCAACTCCATTTCTGTCTTAGGAAACTAATAGACCCAGGTTCTGATAAATACTACGGTGTGTCCATAGGCTCACAAGACATAGAAAATACAAAGTACCTAGTAGCAAGATGATCATGTACTAGCCTTTGAGCAGCCTGTTGGAAGGATGATACAGAATCAGATATTTGCTTTTGTTTGCAGGCAGATGCCATGTGCCCCTTGTTCCTTTCCCTTTCTCCCTATCTCTCACCTGTGTTGCCACGCCCTGGCCTGCGGGATCACAGCTGCTGGCGATACCTGCTAATCACGTTTGTTGGTTATGAGATGAGTGAGCTTAACAGCGTCTTAACCTGTCAGATTAAATAAAGCTGCCTCTGGAAGTCTGACTAGCATGTACTGGACAAGTCTTAGAGCTTTTGTAGTGGAAATTCGGTCTTCATGGCATCCTTGTATGTTTTATAACATGGGCATGCTTAGATTTACATTCTGCTCTGAATTGTGCTCTCATTTAAAGATTTCTAAAGAGAGGCTATTGATAACACTATACATAGATTTTTCTGATGAAGTTAAAATATTTGACCTTGAAATGCTGAACTGTGCATTTAGGAAAAGGTGGTTAGAATATCTAGGCTGTTGAATTTAAAAATTATTTAAGAAGCCACAGATTTATAGATGGCATTTAATTCTATTTTTAATCCACAATTTGGGGCTACTAGGTGACTTTTAGTAGTCACATGATGAGGTTAGTGGCCAGGGAAGCTTCATGATCTGTGTTGTCCCCTCTAGAGGTAAGCATTTGCCAATTTGATGGGCACCATTCCACTGATTGACCAATTCTTGTTTGTTGCCTTTTCTCCTCCTTGTTTGTTTCCTGTACCCCCAGTGCATCTCAGCCTTCCTGTGGCACACAGCTGATGGATAGATGATGTTTGTAGGGTACTCAAGGGTAAACAGAAACGGCCTTTTGTGGCCAGAGGCAACCAGCCAGGGGCTCTGAGGGATCAGCAGCTCTGACTCCTGTTTCCCAGGCTTACGCAGTTTGGATCTGGAAGTTCTGCTTTACAACTACTATTCAGGCCTCTGTGGAATTAGATTTCTTCACTGTGTTACATGTAGCCAGTAGTCATTTTAAGTAGAATTGCTTAAGTTAAAGAAGTCTTATTAAGGCTTAGGTTTTAAAATTAGATAGTGGATATGTAGAGTTTTATTCATATGCTTTATAACCTACATGTATATTTTTCTTTTGATAGTATCACATTTCACAATAAAAATAACAAGAATCTTTAGAAAGAAAATCTTAGCATAATTCTTATTCTTGCCCACAATTGTATTATTAATATTTTAAAATTACAAAAATAATGGGGAAAAGCAGGGGAAAGGAACATCTATTACACCAATCCCCTAATGCAATTACTATTTCATTTATTTTTTTCCAATATAAATGTTTATTAATGTTTATGTTCTTAGTTATAATCATAATGTACATAGCTGTATATCTTTATGTATTACACAATAGACTGGTGGGCTTTATAGGCATTATTTTTAATAGCTGAATAATATTCCTCTGAGTGGTTAGTATCACAATGTACTAACCATTCCTGTATGGTAGAATATGTAAGTTGTTTAAACTTTTCTACTGTTACAGAATATCTTCAGAGTTTTTGCATTTATTCCACAAATAATTTGCCAGTGTATAAGACATTCTGCTACATACTAGAATTATAATGGTAAGCAAAAAGAGTCATAATCTCTATTCTCGTGGAATTTAGAATCTAAAGACTAACAGTTCCTGATTGTATTTTGCATTTTAATCACATTAGTCCTCAGACTTTTAAAAAAAACTTTTTATTTTGAGAGGATTGTAGATTTACATGCAGTTGTAAGAAATAAAACAGAGAAATCCTATATACCCTTCACCCAGTTTCCCCAATAGTGATATCTTACATAACTAAAATACCTCCACAACCAGGAAATTGACATTGGCATAAGCACCAGCTCATTCGGATTTTACCAGTTTTACGTGTATTCATTTCTGTGTGTGTGTATATATATATGCAGGTTTGTCATGTGTTGATTGGCATGACCACCACCATAGTCAAGATGCGGAACAACTCCATCACAAGGATCCCTTGTGATACCCTTTTACCCCCATGGCTGCCTCTCTTCTCTCTTTCCCTAACCCCTGGCAATATAAATTTGTTTTCTATCTCTGTCATTTTATCATTTGATGGCTGTTATATAAATGGAATCACCCAGTATGTAACTTTGTGGGAGTGGACTGGAGTTTTTCACTCAGCATAATTACTTTGAGAGTCATCCAGGTGGTTGTGTGTATCAATAGTTTGTTCCTTTTCGTTGCTGAATGATGTTCCATTATATGGATGTACCACATTCATAGGTCTGTTGGATCTATGAGCTGTTTCTGGTTTTGCTTTATTGTGACTAAAACTGCTATGAACATTTCTTCAGCCTTTATTTTGATTACGTGTAAAAGGAAATTAGTAAGACTTCAGGCCTCTGTAATTCAGCTGCCAGCATCTAGTGCCACAGTCAGGGTATCTCTGTAGAATCCACAATAAGCCTCTGATGAATGGCATGGTGTTTTGGCTTTCATATTTTGTGCCTTGGAATATATGACTTTGCTTATATAGCTAAAATTGTCTTTTGTTTTCATATCTATTTGTTGTCTTAGTCTGTTCAGGCTGCTGTAACAAAATACCATAGACTGGATGGCTTATAAATAACAGAAATTTATTTGTCACAGTTTTGGAGGCTGGAAAGTCCAAGATTAAGGTGCCACTAGGTTTGGTGTCTGGAGAGAACCCACACCCTGTCCACAGACAGCTATCTTTCTGCTGTAACTTCATGTGGCAGAAGAGGTGAGGGACCTCTCCTGGGCCTCTTTTATAAGGGCACTAATCACCTTCCAGAGACCCTACTTCTAGATATCATCACCTTTGGGGGTTAGGGTTTCAATGTATGAATTTGGGGGGGGACATAAACTTTCAGTCCATTACATTTTTGTAGCAGTGAAATATATCCTCTTGTCATCGCTGTTGTCCTTTAGAACTTACAAAGGTGGAACTCTGATTTTCTGTTGAGCCGTTTGTCCCTTGAGGAATGGGGGACCTGTCAGGGTTGCTGTGTCAGAGAGGTTGTTCCATAGACATTCACTCAGTGCGCACCTTTTTTAGAGTTCACTGAAGGTGTTTGGAAAGGATGGGATACACAGAGGATGGGTAAGGTACATTTGGACTTTAAAGCCGTGATCTTACTATAGTAACTCAAAAAAAGATGTTTGGATCAGACACTTAGGTTTTTAGATTTTCCTTGTTTCTATTTCTTTTGAATGAATGGTCATGGCCCTCACTTTCTGAGAAAGACATGAAACTCAGGAACACAAGGGCTGAGCAAGCACTTTGCTTTATGATTGTGGCAGACCTTGCCACGGCGATGACTGACCGGGACCTGCCCAGAGACTTGGTGAGCGGTAGGAGAGTACACCACAGGGGTGATGTGGCCTCTGGCCCTCTGTCAGTAAGCCAACAGTTGGGAGCCCCAGAAAACAATTCCATTATCCCAGTTTGCTCTCTTGCTTTTTGCTGCTTTTTCTGTCCCATTGCTCTTAGGAAAAAGTCTAAAACCTTTAACTGGAGATAAAGTGTAAAATCTGATCCCGATGTAGTCTGGTGCCTGCCGACCTTTCTGAGGCTCATCTTGTGCCGTGCAACTGATTCTCACTCCACAGTCCACCTTCCAGGTTGTCTTTCCATAGCTTCATGTTCCTGCCCACTCAGGTCTGTGGTGCAAGCTGTTTTTGTTCTGCCTGGAACACCATTTACCCTCCTTCCCTCCACCTATGTTTGTCAAGTTCTCTCCTGCGCTTCTCAGATCTTGGTTTAAACACAGTTTCCTCGTGGAAGCCTTGCTTGACCCATCAGACGAGGCCCGAGTCATTCCATGTGTGCTGTGGTGCCCAGTACTTTCCTTCACTGCACTCACCCCTATCTGTGATGTTCGCTGACTCTTGATTCGCTGCTATCAGTGTCTCCCCCTGCCCACCAGGCCCTCGGAGAGACGATGACCATGTCTCTTGTGCACCGTTGATTCTGCCGTGCCTAGTACAGTGTCTGGTACATAGTTTCTGCTCGAGAAATATTTGTTGAATTAATTAAATCAGGGAAATGACCACCCCCCAAAATGTCCTTAATGGGTGTGACAAGGAATTTATTACTTTAAAATGAAATTAGTATCTATTTTTGAAGGTCCAGTTATATACTCCTATAAAATTGTACTATCCTAGAGATCTGTTAACTATAATTCATATTTTTTTTCTTTCAGGTGGGGACCAGGGCTTACTGAACACATTTTTTAGCAACTGGGCTACAACAGATATCAAAAAACACCTGCCATTTATTTATAACCTAAGCAGCATTTCTATATACTCCTACCTCCCAGCGTTTAAAGCGTAAGTGCAAATGGTTTACCTTTTGTTGGGGATGGTAAGGACAGGGGAGTGGGGTTTAAAATTTTGGGGGTGCCTCATTGTCATTCTAAGAAAAATAATGGGTGGGAACTTTGAGGAAAGTCTTTCTGTTGTGGAAACATGGCCGTAATGGGGAGAGGCCTTGTTGTCTATGCCCTTATTCTTGGAGTAACCGGGAGGCTTTTAGCCGCCTTACAGGACAAGGTTCCCATCAGTTCCTGGGGTGCTCGGCCCTCTGGTAAACCATCCATATGTCATGGTCAAGAACGCAGACTGTAAGCTCTGCAGACTTAAAACTTGAAGGGGTTGAATTTGGGCACGAACTCAACTTCTGCCTCAGACTGGCTGCTGAGCTGCTTCTGTTTCCCTCAACTGCAAAAAGAGGGTGTTGAAAGCTCCCTCCATGGTGGTTGTGGGGATTAAGCAAGATGCTGGCAGCAGCGTGGTGTTGTGGTTAAGAGTAGGGTCTCTGAAGCTGGATGACCTCAGGACACATCCGGGAGCAGCCACTTACTAGATAGTGTCCTTGGGCTAGTTACTCAACTCTCTGCCTCACTGTCTTCATAGTATTCTTGTGAGTATTAAGGGAGATCATCATGTAAAGTGGTTAGAAGAGGGCCTGGCCTACCCTAGTGCTCAGTAAATGCTAAGTTCTTAGTCATTTTTGTTTACGAGGCAGTGTAAAGAGTAATCTCTGAAGCCAGAAGGCAGGGCATATGTCCTCACTCTGTCATGTCTCTCCTACATGACTTAAGACTGTGCCTCAGTTTCTCCATATGTAACAAGGACGAAAGTAGTACCTTCCTCGTAGAGTTGTCCAGAGGATGAAGTGAGTTAATACACATAAGATGCTCCATGGACTTTTGTTGTTTGTTTTGGTAACGTGCTTGTTTAGCACAGTCCCTGGTGCAGCTCTGATAATACCTTGCAACTAATACAGCCTTGTTGTAATATTTTTATCTCACTATGAGGCCCTGGATGCTGTTCTTTAGCCTCTGACTCATTTGTGTTGAACTGAGATGATTCAGATTTCTTGAACAGGGGCCTAGCTGTCAGGTTGATCCTGAGACAACAGCCGTGGGCATGAAGCCCTTCATTGACTGGGCTTTTTTCTCCAAAACCATCCCGTTTGGGCATTCCTGAGTGAGTGGAAAACAAAGAGTCTTTCATTCCTCTTTTCCATTATCCAAAGTCCTCTCCATAAGTCTTGCACCACAGTGATGAGCACGTCTGGCTTTCTGTGGCAGAAATGTTTCCTTTTCTGTTCTTTCCTGGGAAGACTCTGTCAACGTTCCCCAGATAAGGCTTACAAGAATCTGTGTTCTTTCCTCTCTAACTGTTCTCTTGGCATACATCTCCAACATTTTACAGCCTCTTAATTCTCTTCCCCTTTTATGGTGAGACAGGCGAACTCTTAAACATAGCAACTGTGTTCTGAGTAAAGCAAACAGAACAGGATTTACTATCGACAGAGGAATAGGAGAAGCATTATTTTTGCCTCTTAGTCCTTGGCCTTGTAAAATACAAATCTGTCTTCCATGGCATTGTGGACCTGATTCATTTCAATTCTTGTTACATCATAACTAACCTGCAAGTTCGAACAGTGTTCCTGCAAACCGTGATAGCTTGACCCCCTAGAGCCAAATTTGCCTATTATAGGGCAGTTCCTTATAATTTAATTGACTAAATTCAGCTTAACAAGCAAAAAGATGAGAGTACAAAGGAGAAAGAATTTTTTTTTTTTTTTTAAGACACAGTCTTGCTCTATCACCTGGGCTAGAGTGCTGTGGCATCAGCCTAGCTCACTGCAACCTCAAACTCTTGGGCTCAAGTGATCCTCCTACCTTAGGCTCCTGAGTAGTTGGGACTACAGGTGTGCACCACCATGCCTGGCTAATTTTTTCTATTTTTAGTAGAGACAGGGTCTTGCTCTTGCTCAGGCTGGTCTCGAACTCCTGACCTCAAATGATCGTCCTGCCTTGGCCTCCCAGAGCAATAGGATTACAGGGGTAAGCCACTGCACCCGGCCAGAAATAATTTTTAATAGTGTGACCATTCCACTCAATTCTGCATAGTTAGCATGTGGTTCAGGTTGACTTCACCTGATTTTCCACCTTACCACGATTGAGTGCACTATACCTTTCAGGGATAGCCTGGTTTGCACAGACATTGCTTGAGATATTTTTAATGCAGAATAACAAGAAGCAGATGGAGAAGAGTTAACTTTTTTGTGTTTTGTTTTGTTTTAATTTCGGCATATTATGGGGGTACAGATGTTTAGGTTACATATGTTGCCCTGGCCCCTCCTTCCCCCCAAGTCAAGAATTACGTTTTGAGGGGTAAGATGGACTTATTTGCTAGGACCTTTGCCTTCTCTCTCAGGAACCCAGTTATTTTTACATCCTCTAAATGAATTACCCCAGAAAACAGTTTGAGATCTAAATTACCAAAATGATTAGGATGATTTCTTCCTCCTGGCTCAATGAATGAGTGCTTATTATTAATTTTGGAAATCTCCTTGGTTTATTGCCATAACCATAGAGTATATGATACACTGGGGAAGTCAGGAGCAACTCCACCCATTAGCCAGGCTTCCTCTGCCCGTTGCTGATGAAAGTTGATGCTGCTGTGATATGGCTCACCCTTGGGTGTCAGCTATACATTTCTGTGATAAGATGCTCAAAGCCATGCCTTGTCTCACCCCATTGCTGCCTATTTAGGAATGCTGAAACAAGATCAAAGAACTCATTTTCCCTTCCCTTTGCCAGAATATGTTTTTGTTTTTCTTGCAGAGACCCATTTCCACGCACATTTTCCCTTATACTCCCTTGTATTTGGGAGGGCTGAAAAGGCACAGGTAGTTACATTTCTTTTTTAAGTTAATATAAAATCGTGGTCCAAACCTTTTCAAACTGAAGTAGCCTAAACTGAAGACCACCACAGCTATTCCTCAAGGAGCCCTGTGAATTTGAAGCCCCACCGTTGGGTTCAGAGTAGCTTTGGTGATCTCCAGGACCAACTGGCTGGCCTTCCCTAGGTCAGTATGGGTGGTGACAGGTAGAATGGGACACCATGAAGTGGTTTAGAGCAACTTGGGCTTCACAGAAGAAGGAGTCTAGGGTTTGTCTCACCAACTGCAAACAACCATGTGCTTATAAGGTCACCAAGGCAGTATTTAGACACCCCAGAATCTTAGAGTCTTGGATATCTAGAACAGAGTGACCTTTGCTATTACATGAAATTTCAGCTAAAGGATGGCCTGATATGAAGCAAACTTAATATGAATTCGAGCCATGAAGTAACATATCTAATGCCTTTCTCTGCATAGCCTTTGGATAGAACAAAGCATAAAGGAAACAAACTTAATAGTTTTAGGTAACCTTAATAGTTAAAGGTAAAAGTTTTACCTTTAAATGACTCAAACATAATTTCTGAAAAACAAAATTAGTAAGCAATTTTTTTTGTAATGGCAGATCGTCTTTAACACAGCATAATTTGAAAACTAAAATGCTTGGTGTAGCAATTTTTAAGGCAAGTTATAGTATTCACATTAGAAAATAAGTCATAAGTATATTTCTTAATGAAATATTTTTGAAAGTACCTAGCATAATGTTTGGGATATAGTAGGCTTTTAATGAATATTAGTTTTTGTTAAGTTTTCTCCAACTGGAGGGCCTGTTTCATCCATATAGCATAGAATTTGGCTTGTGCATAGTGCTAGAAAAAAAATCTCACTAGTCTTTTTAAATTCAGTTATTTATTCCATTTTGCTTTCTACTATATCCACTGACCAAAATCTCTTTAGGTCATATTATGCTACGTAGAACAGGCCTAAAGCAAAGATACAGAATTCTCTGGCATTGTTTCGGACCACCACACAAACTAATTGGTCAAATTGATTGAATACAGAGCCTAATTTACAAAATAATTTCCATATACACATTTTATTTTACCCTTTTACTTGAGTTTTAAATATGACTTGAGACCT